GACCCACACCCAAGTTCCATAGCATTTCGAGAAATCCTTCATCAGTGATTGTGAATGACTGATTTTTTCAATCTTAAAAGTATGTCCTTGACCTAACTCATGCGGTGAGACATTAGCCATTAGATATTCAGTTGAACCTGGGTTAAGAAGAAGCACTAATATGCATCATAGCTTAGAAAGTACAGAAGTTTTGTAGCAAAGAAATATCGCTAGTTAAAGTGTTATGGCAGCATCATTCAGTAGAAAAAGCTATTTGGGAACAAGAAGTGGAAATGAGAGCCAAGTACCCACAACTTTTTGAGGAGTTGTAAGGAAAATTTGCGGGGTGAAATTCAATTTAAGGGATGTAGGTTGTAATGTCCTAAATTTTTATTGCTAGTTGTTAGATTAAAAATTAGAACTTAAGTGTGTTCTTATTAGTTATTGACCTAGTTAAATGGCCTTATTGATTACCAGCCAATAGTTTAATAAAGACTTAAATGAAAAGTTAATTTGGAAATTAAATGAAATCATGTGTAAAATACATGTAAATATGACAATTAGCCATGATAAAAGATGATTTATTTGACCACATGCATTATTCACCACATTTTAAGCAATGTAATTTGATCTAACCACATAAATACAAGTAATTGATTTGACAACTTTCAAGACAATGCACCAATTATGCATTGACCATGTCTAACATTTAGCCATTTCCTTTCGATGTTCTACATATGGTCCAAGAATTTGCATTATAAATAGAAGATAAACTAACGTTGGACTACCCCTTACCAACTATTTACACTATTCCTCTCTATCTCTATCAATTTGTCTCTATACTCTTACTCTTACTATTTCTCTTGTCCTTTTCATATTAAATATAGTTAAACATTTACACAATCAAACAACCCCAAACGCGGCTCAAGGATGCCTCTCCAACAATCACTTCTTCTATCATTTTGAATTGTTAAGTGAAAGGTAAGTATAGTAGTACGAATTGTTCTTTCAATATTTAAATTTTGGAAATTTATGTCATGAATATGATGATACGGAAATCCAAGTTATAATTATGATAATATTTCCTATATATGTAAGTTCAAATGACCGGAGTTTAGTAGCACTACACACGGGAATTATAGTCACGAAGTTCGAATTTTAATTCTCGTATCTCCATATGTATGTTACGATTTCCTGTATTTAAATATGAGATGCAAATTCGTTATTACTTATTTACTAAGATTTATGTCCTTACATATATGTGTTAATTTTAGTTATGTATTTAATACCTTGAATTACTTGATCAATAATTCAATCATTTTGTAAATATTTTACGAATCAAGATGTGAGTTTTAGAGTTAAACCACATATTAAGATTTGGTAATTTAATATAATGCGTAGAGATACATATGCTAATTATTGCGGTCTTATATGATTCTTAATACAAAGTGCATTTGACTAAGTTTGATTCAATAGAGATATGGGAATGAATTAGTTAAATAGGCTCAATAAGAACTCGGGAGGGTAAACTGAATATTATAGAAGAATTCGATCAAACACGACATTAAATATAAATCTTAAATTAAGACGTCAAGGTAATCAATAGATGAAATTGTTATACCCTAATATCTATTCCACATTTAAATTTTCAATTGATCTCTATTTTCAATTATTAGATATATTTAGAAAAATAATCACCAAATCACAATTATTTGTTTTTCATCAAATAGAAGTTTGAAATAATAAATTAAACATTAAAATATAGTCATAGTGGGTACAATAATTCGGAGTTAAAGGTCCGCTACGTTACTTGTTACGATATCGTATATTTGCAATATAAAAAAATGGCAACACTTCTCAAACGATGATGATGTATCAAGAAAAAAGACGCAAACACATGATAAAAGTTATTCGTACAATCATTACTGTTGAGATGAGCATAGCAAAAAAAATAGAGTACTATAAATTACTTGGACTATATCAATGACAAGGCCATCAATATGTATTTCCCAGAAAATGTTGAGTCTTACCATCTTTCTATAGAGTTTATTTGTATTAGAAAATATGGATCGTAGGTGATCCAAGTGGGGTGACCCAACCCACAAGACTATAAAAGGATTAGAGGGGAGTGGTTTGGATTTGAAATTCAAACATTGAACACGTTGTAACTATCAGTAACTCACATACAATCTCTAAAAAAAGAGAGAAAAATGGCAATAAAATGCGTGAAATTCATATGAAAAAAATATACATAAATTGAAAAGTGTCTAGAATCATTTATATGCAATATTATTAAAATCGGCCCTGCCCCTATCGGCTCAACGGGTAAAATCGGGACGAGTTGAAAGCCTAACCAATTATATGTTATTAATTTTCACTTCAAGAGATATACTTGTAATATATCTACGTAAAAGAATGATATGTAATCATCATACTCTAAAGATGTCTAGAAATATATTTGTTGGTAATATCGAATATCTAGAATTGCTAAGAATATGATACATAGTGTATAAGAAAACTCTTGATTGAGTTTTGTATGCTCATAGATAAACAATTTTGAGTTCATGTGTAATCTAATGTTGTGATTATAAGATAATAATTTACATGCACGTATAGTATCTCGAATAGGTTGAGATTTGTTCACTCATACGAACAATCGCTTAAAGCACTTTGGGGTGTGTTGAGATGAGATAAAGTAATCATGTTCTGTACATGATCCAGTCTCCTCAATGAGATATTAAGTTCCCGTTTGGTAGCAATTTTTCTTTTCAAAAAATCGATTTTTGACCGTTATTTTACTATTTCAGCCATCATTTTTTACTTCTTCACTCGCAGGTGATACCTACTTTTCTTTCTAACGATGAAAAATTCAATTCTCATAATCACCATCGAACATGCCCTAAGATGATATTACAACAAGTAATCTATCCTTTAGTCCTATTTTATAGTTAGATTGATTTCTCGATTGGAGATTTTCTAGAGGAATAAATATAAGAAAAACTCAATTTAGGTGTCGGAGAATACTTGAACTAGGATCTATATAGTATTATTTATTTATAAATAATATGACATACACCCTGAGAAAAAAAGAAAACATTATAGCACGTGTTTCATACTACTAGAGATGGCAATTTACCCCGCCCCACCCTGATGGGTTGATGGGGCGAGGCGGGGCATAATTCCCCGCCCCGAACCTGTCCCGTGAATTCGTTATTGTTTTTTCAAGTATTTCTTTGAATATTGAAGTTAATTTGAGCATTATTTGTTTTGAATTTTTAAATTTTGAATTTGTATTTTATAATTTAATAGTATAACTCGAAATTTTGAAAATGTGTAACAAAAATAATAAAATTAAATTAAATGGGGCAGTAAACAGGGCAAAAAACTGCCCCGACCTTGCCCTGCCCGCCCCGCGGGGTGGGGCAGGGTTGGGACGAGATGGGGGTGGGAACGCCCCGTCCCGAACCCGCCTCGTTGCCATCACTACATACTACGTGTGCTTTTACGATCAATATTATGTAAATGAGTGAATGGATCCCTACTTGTTCATTGTGTGAGATCTTGATGTTTATATAACCTCATAAATACATTTATGACTTTTGACCATTTCTTGATATTTTATTTCAGTATTGCTACTTTAGCATGTTGCCAATGAATATAATTGATTCGGTTCGATGGGAAATGTTTATAAAAGCAGCTGATTTAAAGTTGAAGGATTCGAGTAGGAAATGATAACTATCTTGACCAATATTTATGTTAGTATTCATCGGATAATTGTGTTTAACCATTTAAAGTATTATACACAATTGTAAATATGATGATATGATGTTGGTTCAAGTGTGTTCCATAAATATTCGAAGGATCAGAAATACTTGAATTAATGTTGGAAAAAAGAGTTTGGGTGTAGCGAGATGTAATGTTCCTCTAGTAGATCTACTATATATCTCTAACAGGTTTATAGTACTGCGAGTTCTAATATGTACATGTTGGTCGTACAATTTATTTGCTGTACGAATCTTTGTGAGATAGATATTGAGAATGATCTAACGTTTGATATTCATTTGTTACTAGTGGTTCAAGTTAAGCCCATCACGTGTGAGTGGAAGATGTTAGAAAATATGGGTTATGGGTCGCCCATGTGCGGTGACCCTACCCACAATGGAGGGAGTGGTTTGAATTTGAAATTAACACCTACAACTCCCTAACCAGCATTAACTCCCATACAACATCTAATAGTAATTGCCTATAAAAAGATAGAGAAAGATGGCAAGAAAATGTGAAATTCGTATGGAAAAATACATATAAATCGAAAAGTGCCTAGAACCATATATATGGCATTAAAACTCACAAAATTGGCATTTAGATTGTGTACAATAATCCCCTTCCATTGTGATCGGAATGGAGACAATTAGAGCGCTAGAAAATTCAGATTTTTAAGTTTAAAAAGTAAAGTGATTCAACCATTCAAAAATCTTGGAATTCATAATTTCAAGTAAGAATTTTTAAACCGAAATTTACGTTCAAGAATGCTGCGAATTCTAACAATCTGAACTCTGATTGTTTATTTAGCACACAAAAGGTGTACACATACATCCATTAAAGAGAATACATTAATATATATACATTGGCTTCAAAGTTTAATATCTTGGAAGATTAATTGTTCAAGTTATTTCATGGATACATGAAACATAATTTCCACTGTCAAATTAAAAGTTTGTTAAATTAAAAGAGGCAAATTGAAATTTTTTTTGGTCAAATTAAAAGTTTTTTAATTTGTATTAGTATGAACTTTTGCGAATTTAAGTAGTTATTATTTTACATATTCATTGGCCCTCAAAAAATTATTATCCTATGCATTTAGCGAGATTATTAATTTAGTAAACTGCCCTAAGTCGGGACCGAAGAATTTTATTATTTAAATGAGGTTATTAATTTATCAAACATTTCTTTATCAAGGTTTTACCGTAAGTAGATAGAAATGAGTGATAAATAAGTGAATAGTAGTTATGGACTCCTCATAATGTGTAGATGAAAAGTGACTTGATTATTTATAGACACATTGGCTCATAAAACTCTTGCCACAGTATTTAAGACATCGTCTTACACATGGATAAATTTACAGAGGAAGCTTTTACTGGAAACAGCTAATGAGGAAAAAACATGCCAAAATGCTCACAAGGACATAACATGCTGATGCTGGTCTCAGATATAGAGGTATACAGTTTCTTGGGGTTGGATCCGAACTCCACAAGGAGAATGCGCTCGAGCATCTCATCCATTTTCCTGTCATTTTGGGAAAGTGTCGATCAATGACATCTTTCAGTGTTTCTGTCTTGTTAACCCATTCTAAGCCTTTATCTGTGTAGGTGCTCGAGTTAAAATTTGTTGTGAAGAAGCGATCAGCCTCCAGCCTCCTGGTACATCATATTGTATTGTAAGGAAGATGAACAGATATTGTTAAAATCCACACTGAACTGGATTTTGAATGTTGGTTAGTATTGAATCCAAAAATCAGAATATTCAATAAACCAATTTCGTATGGAATAATCCTGCTTAACATGTAATAGGCATCATATATTAAGACTGCATTTTTAAGCTTACCTTGATGCAATAAGTAGAAATATAGAGAAAGCTGTTTCACTGATGGCAAAGCCTTTAATTTTCTTCTCTGCATGTAAACCCACCTGGAGATCCAGCTTCTCAACATCATCTCCATAGATTTCGTGTAACGCTTCAATTACTTCTTCATCATCAGTCAAATCTTCCCACGTGCTAATTGGAATCATCAGCATATTCCTTCTGAACTCATTGTACCGTGCAACGTTCCTTTCTCTATCTCTATAAACTAATCAAACATCAAATGAACTTTTACTTCTCCATTAGAAGCGAAGGAAATATACTGGCACATTATATGTAGTAAACAGATTGACACTGCAAGTAATTGAAAGATTTATTAGAGCTACTAAGCATACTTTCTAAGGCAGCCATGTCAACTCGATCAGGTCTATCTTCTCCATCAGCATCATGAGCTACAAGGTTTCTCATCCATGATGGATAATTCCATAATGTGACGGCCCCACATGACTGATGGCCCATTGATATGAGCATCTGCTCCATTCCAATTTTGGCCAATCGTCTCTCTCCTTGTTTCCCAATCATTTCCCACATAGGCACCCTGATCAAACCCTCCATGTTAGAAATTATGCAAGCATTCTAAATTAGTATTTATTTCATTCAGAATAGGTTCATATATGAAGAGGTGATCAAAATTAATATGATTAAGCTTGCTGTAAAGAATTAGTTTCATTAGACCTTTCAGCAGAAGCAGCTTTAGAAATAATCGAACTTAAGCTATTAGGTTTGAGGTTTATGTTGTTATTGTTAATTTGAAATTTACTGTCTACCCAAAATCCGGAGGTGCGAAGATGATACTTTCAAGTCTGTTCAAAGAAGTATAAAGGTTGAAGTTGTATTTCAGTTTAAGATGAAGTTATGATAAAGTGTAAACAGTTATTTTGTTTACAAAATCACTGCAAAAGCATATGTAACCCAATGATCCTATGTACACTCACATAAACACCATGACCTTTGGCATAACAAATCTTTTCTACTATCATCTTGATAATAATTTACTCTACATGACTAGTAAGCAACTATCATCCCCCATAAGTAAAGACTTCTTTTGCCTGCATATAAATTTTTCGCCTGCTTAAAAATCTCTTTCTACGAGCTCTTTCTAGCATCACCACATCATTTACCAACTGGTAGATAATGGGAAATCACTACCAATAACTGATGTCACCAGTTATTTTTTGTGTTTGTCCTCTTTATTTCTCCATGCATAGCCAACTACTAAAATTTCCCAATTTGTTCAGTTTATGTTTTGCCATCACTGACAAATATATAGCCGTTGCAGATTAACATTTTCCTATGTGTGAAAGAATATTTTAAACAAAATATTTATACACCAGCTCAAAGTATTATACGACAGTTGTATAGACAATTAAGAGAGAATCATACTCTTCCTGAACTGGTGTACTTCTGTTCTCTGATGTTGCTGATTTTATGTCCAAGAGGATGACTTTGTCCGGTAGAAGTGAGTGCATTCTATATACACCAACAAATTCTTCAGTCAATGAGTAAGGAATTCCATGATCTCTAGGCCTTCTTAGACCAACTAGTCCACTACAAACTGGTCCAAACTTATGCCCAATTAAGTCCTTGATTTTCTTCCCGAAAAACCCATACCTGCAGAAAATTTTATTTGTTAATTGTGTTTCAAAGAAGATCGAACTTAATACATAAGCTCTGAAATTTTCTGATTCGATGCTAAGACATGATGTTACTGATAGCTTATAGATAATTTATGTGTGCTCGGGACCAGATCCGGTGCTAAAACTAATGCATGCATTGAACTGTATTACCAGTTTATCCTCATTCCTGCCAACAGAGTATCAGTCTTGAGGAGTTCAACTGTCCAATCAATTGTATGTATTTTAGCAATAACAGCTGAAGTCACCAATCTTGCATGTCGGTAGAGCTTCTCATCATCAAGGTCGGGGCAATGTTCCTGGAGTATATTTAGAAGTTACCCCAACAGCATCAATCAAAAGGAATAATCTATAGTTTCTTGAAGATATCTTCTTCAAAAGTACATGAGAAAGTTTTCTCTAATGGTTATACAGGCCTTTTCTTGTCAACCTTTCTGTAGATCATCATTTAGGAGTTTCCTTATAAACAAGATGAAGATCTTTATAGGACAAAATTGTTAAATACACTGGGCTACATCATTAGATGATAAATGGACCCTGTTAAAGAAAGAAAGAAATTATGCTCGTAAGAACAAGGACATAGAATTAGTTATACAGCCATTTCATGAAGACGTGAGGATCAGTTACAGATTCGAGGAATCCAAATAATTTGGCGTATACATAAAAAAATTCACTAATTCCTAAAACATGAACTTTTCAGATTTTTACACACATCTTTTTCCTTTCCAATGGCTTATGTATCTCTTCATTTAATGTCATTCTCAAAACATTATGCAAATTTAGATACTTAAAAATGGAGAGACTCTAATCTCAAATTCAATGTGAGAGAAATATATAAGAATAACATAAACAGACAGAAAATATATGGTGTCGAGCTTTCTCAGTAGATCCAGAGAGCACTTCTAGAATACTCATGGATATTTATCACCATGTAGTAAGTGCTCAGTAATATAGTTCTTTAATATTTAGCTAAATTTGTTTCCCTACTAATTTGTAACAGCTCTCTCTCTCTCTCTCTCTCTCTCTCTCTCTCACACACACACACACACACACAAGCTTAATGTTCTACCAACAAGAAAGTTAGAACTTACTTTGAGCATATCACAAACAACGTTATGCTCTTTAACAAACAAGGCCTGCAAAAGGGAGAAGCCTGCCCAACAGTTTCGAACATCTCCGGAGATTGGAATGCCCTTCTCATCATGTTCAAGAAGTCCATCCCCTGAAATTTTTAGCTTCCCATCTTTAAATGTTCTCACTTTAATCATGCCATCGTTGTTGTTTCCATAAATAACACTCCCGTCCCTGATCAAGTCAGAGATACGTAAGTAGGAAATACTGAAGTGAACATATGTTTGGGTACACTATATCTTTAATTGTTTTCACTTATAAATTTCTGAAGCTTATTTCTTTCACAATTCAGAATATATAATATTAAAAACAACATAAAACAAGCTTCCAACAGTAACTCTTCTGAATCTCTGATAAAAAATTAATCTTTTTTCTTTTTCTGACCTTTAAGCAGCTCTATTGGTTATCCAGGAATACAATAACGGTAACAGGTATAACTCAAAAATGAAGTTCTCTTGGAAGGGTGAAAAAGTTGCTTTAAGTTCGACTTTGCTTGTCATTTTCCAATATCATCTAGGATTCATAGGACACTGCATTTTCTATTAAAGTGGCACCTGTTGCATAACTCAAAATTATCTAGTTTCTTTACCATTAATATTTGTTCTGCTGTATACCTCAGTTTTGTTGAAAGCTATTGTTACAAGCACTCACCACCATGGAGTCCTTGAATTCAGAAACCCAATCTCTGGCTTAGGCGAACCAGTTTGAACTTTTTTGTTCTTATAGAACCTGAAAGACTTCAGTGGACACCCTTCTGCAACTTCATCGGGAGCTCTAATCTCTACCTGGCATTAGATTACAGAAGATGAATCAAATGTGCTCAGATATCAAGTTAATGAATCAAATCTAACCCAATTATAAGAGCTATCCAAACTTTCAATCATTTAGAGAACATTTCTTCAAAAAAAAAAAAAAAAAATGCACATATATCAGGAATAAGAATTAAGGTTTCCAGGTGAAAACACTCAGGGTAGCTTAGGGTTTTCATACTTTCGAGACCTTCCCACAGACCAACCGTACTGTAATAAATCGCAGCATTCATAATCATAAACTCCAGGTCAAGATGCTTACTTAAAAAAGTTAAAATGATGAATTCCAAGATCTTTTAAATGGTTGAATCACCTTCCTTTCCAAAACTTTGAAATCTGCAATTTTCTTGCACTCCAATGGTCCCAAACCTGATTATAATGGAATGAGATTATTATCCACAATCTAAGTGCCATATTTTGTGACTTTTCCTACGAAAATAGTGATTTTATAATATTTCTAATTTTGGTGATATTTTCCATATGAATTTTCACAATTTGTCTTTCCATCATTCTCTCTCAAAATGTTAGACAAAAACTTGGAGGTTGTATGAGAGTTAAGGGTGGTTATAGGGAGTTATAGGTTTGAATTTCAAGTTTAAACCACTCATCCCAACCTTTTTAGTGTGTTTGAGCCACATTATTTTGGAAGAATGTATTTGAAATAGTAGATTAATGGAGAATGTGTGGTTAAAAAATGAGAAAAAGTTTTGGATTTGAGTGTAATATTATTTTATTGAAAAATATGTGGTTGAAATGATGTCAAATCACTGTTAAGAAATATATATTTTGAAAGAATGCGACTCAAACAGAACTTTAATATCTTGTGGGTTGGATCACCTTACATTGGCGACCCACGAATCGTATTTTCTAACATCTCCCACTCGCAAATAATGGGGTTGGCTCGAATCACAAGTGACTCGCAACTTAGATCATTTTCAAAATCTATCTCACAAAAATTTATACGACAAATAGATCGTGAAACCAACAAGTAATATTAGAGCTCTGGTACTATAAACTTATCAGGGATATATAATAGCTCTACTAGAGGAACATCATATCTCGCTATACTCCAAACTCATTTTCCAACATTAATTACAGTATTTCCGATCCCTTGAGTATTTATGGAAGATACTTAAACCACACATCATATTATTGTATTCACAACTGCGTTCTATTCCCTAAATGGTTAAATATAATTGTCTGGCTGGTGAATACAAAAATAAATGTTGGTCAAAATAGTTTTCCTTTCCTACTTGAATCCTTCGACTTTAAATCAACTGCTTTCCTAGACATGTCCCATCAAACCAAATTAATCATAATTATTGATAACATGCTAAAGTAGCAACACTAAAATAAAATCTCAAGAAACAGTCAAAAGTCATAAATGCATATATGAGGTTATATAAACCTCAAGGTCTCACACAATGAGGAAGCAAGGATTCATTTGCTTATTTACTATTGGTCGTAAAGCACACGTGCTATGATATTTTTTTCCTTTCTTAGGGTGTATGTCATATTCTTTACAAACAAATAACATTGTACAAATCTTAGTTTAGGTATTTCCCGATACCTAACTTGAGTTCTTCTTATGTTCATTCCTCTAGGCAATCTCAAATCGAGAACTCAATCTGCTTACTAAACAGGTTTAATGGATAGCAAAATTCTTTTAGATTACTTATTGTAATCTCATCTTGTTATCTCATTAAAGCGACTGAATCATGTACACAACATGATCACTTTATCTCATCTCAGCACACCCCAAAGCGTCTGAGGTCCATGTGAGTGAACTAATCTCAACCTGTTCGACATATTTTATATGTGCATACAAATCATTATCTCGTAATCTCAATATTAGATTACACATGAAGTCAAACTTGTTCATCTATGGGATGCAAAACTTAATCAAAAGTTTTCCGATACATGGAGTATCATATTCTACACAATTCTAGATATTCGATATTACCAACAAGTATATCTCTAGACATCTTCAAAGTATCATGATTACATAACATCATTTACGTAGATATATCGCAAAGACACTTCTTTGTTAATGTACCTCATGAAAATACCTTCAAGTGTTTAGTTCATCTTGATACTCAAGATCCTTAATACATAAGATAATTGTTTTACCATCATGGATCTTGTATCTTCAACTAGTATTATTAGATGCCCAATATATCTATAACAAACAATTTCTTTAGCTGCCAAAATATATAATACAAGATATGCTTCTTGCTACTCTATAGATCAAGATTGCATAAGTCTAATAACTATTTGTGCTTGATTAACTCTCATCATTAGTCGACATTTGTATATCTATTCCAATCACAACTTATTTGTTCAATGACAAAATTGAATAACTGACGGCAACACCATTTAGATATCATAATATCCTTTCTAAGTATAACATTGATACTTGTTGACTAAATCCATGGCATGATAAATGTTATGACAAGCATATATCATAGCATACTTCTAACTTCTAATTGTACTAGATATGGTTCTCTGGATTTTTTTTGTGCACTTTTGGAGTCTTTGAACATATATAAAGACTTATACGGTCACCTTCCGATTTAGACATTAATGGTGTAGCACCCTAGTTAAAAATATTTTAGAGTCTTTATAGCATACAAATCTTGTGATAGAGTAAGAAGAGTAGAATAATCTTTTTAATGTAAAGTGTACAATTTGTTAAACACATGTCCTTCGTCTCAAAGATCAAGGACAACCATTTCAAAAATGGTATCTATACACTCGTTATCATGCTTAGCTAATCTAATGTCATCAATATCAAAATTAGAATTACAACTTACCATCAGACTTTTACATAAATGAAGTAATTTTCATCCATATGATGAAATTTTTGTACAAGATTTAAATCCTGTTAAAAACTCAAGTACGAGTGTCAAGATGACTGTATTACGTCATGAGTGCAATTATAAAGCTACCACAATACTAAAAAGGCCTTTAATATGAAATTTACTGGTTGATTCATGTTGATCTCTTTAATCATTTTTCAATTGAGAATAAAAAATACAGTCCCTAGGTCTATTTGGTATAACTTCAAATTTAGACATACTATCATGGCTAGCATCAAGGTATAGAATGAATCCCATTGTTATGAAAAAAATATCTAACTCAATACACTCATATTGAGTATACCTTTTTTTCAAAAATAAGATGAGCTTTATTTGTCAAAAACTCATTAGTTTTCCACTTTGTTTTCAAGAAGCTGAATGTTCTCAACAAACATAATGTCCAAATAAAACTTTCACCATATCTCAGATTAGGTTGAAATTCTATACTCCATATATATACTTCCATCAATGTTATCAATATTCCTCTTTATACTCATATAGGTAAGGGATTGAATTATTGAAAATAGATTGCTTCCATTTGAAGACATATTACTCCCACTTGAATTAGAAGCTTAAAACAACTCATGTATTCAAAATTAATAATTTACCAGTATACATAATATCAATATCAATATTATTCTCCAAATTTTTCTTCCTCACTGAAAAAAATGTCAAATATCACAACTTGTAACCCAAAATCCATTCAAAATCTCACTTAAGTATACTTTTTTTACTGTTATGTGTATCTCTGAGATACATTTCATTCTTAATAGGCTCATGTTCCCAAACTTATTATTAAGAACATATATAGTCGATTGTGAGTCTAGGATAATCCATATTTGGTTATCTACATGTCCAAAGCTTATATGTATTGAAAGTACCAACATTGAGAGAACTACATTAAGTGATAGGTTGTAGTTAACCAAACAGGTAAATTGGACTGTATTATCTCAAGCCTCATCACATTCAGTAATAATCCAATCCTTCAAACCAATAGACCATATAATTACTGGTGATTAAGGAATAGTTAATCCAATAAGAATTTCTCTTTCATTAAATAGATCACTGAACTCTCGTGATAGAGATTCACGCTCTCAAACACTTTTCAAGTCTTCACTTCCATTATCTGATTTTCTATTCCACTTTAAAATAGTCTTTAGTAAACACAATATCTTCAACTTAAGAAAATCAGAGGTACAACTGAAATGCATAAATTCATCAATGGATTTAACAAAAAAATGAAGTTTCATCTCTATCTCTCTTAATCATAGCCCGTAAAGAAATTCAAAAGGGTTTACTCTATGAAAGTTTAACTATTACAGTTTTGAATGGTTTTCTCAACTCAAAACTTCAAATCATTGCACAAATATTCAGAACCATTATAAACACCACTTTGAGAAGTCTTCTTCATTTCAAGGCCGTGTTTGGGACATCAATAGATCTATCCGATAATGAAAATAACAACAAATTATGAAAATTTTCACATTTTTTACCAAACTTTGAGAAGTCTTCTTCATTTTAAGGCCAAAATTAATGATCTTTATATTGTTGAAAAGGTCTCGAGAAGATCTATCCAACCATATCAAATGAAAAGCATGAAATGCAATATAAAAGAAGTTATCATGTAATAAAATTTCAAATTTTATCGATTTTCACAAAAAAAAAAAAAAGAAAGAAAAAAGAAAAGATTTTCATCCAAATTTCGAGAAGGCATAACTTCTTTATTTCATGGCCAAAATTAATGATCTTTATATCATTGGAAAGGTCAAGAGTAGATCTATCCAACCATACCAAATGGAAAGTATGAAATGAAGTGTAGAAGAAGTTATCATGAGATGAGGTTTCGGATTTTACAAATTTTCACACAAAAAAAAAAAGAAAAAAGAAAAAAGAAAAAAAAGAAACAGATTTTCATCCAAACTTTATAACCTCATAACTTCTACATTTTGAGACCAAAATTTTAGTTCTTTAAATGGTTAGAAAGCTTATGAGAAGACCTTTTAACCATACTGATTTTATTGCATGAAGATGAATGACCATTAGCAGTAAATATTTAAAGTTTCTATAATTTTATCTAGGGTTTTGTTTTTCTCCAAAATTATAAAACCAAAAAATGCGAAATTTTGCATATATGATCTACATCATATAAGGAATATGCTGTAAAAAAATTCATGAATTTATGTTGCATATTTCATGACATGCCATTAACAATACTTCAAGTTTCAACAAAAAAGACATATATATATTTTTCAACATAATAATTCCATTTACAGTAAGACAGTATGTAAGTGAAACAACTTTTATGGCTCTGATACCCATGCAATAAATCTGTAAAATTCCAAATAATTTTAAACACCTTAGTGGCACTAAGATATGAATATTGGATGGCTAAAGTATACTTCAGATTTTTAGTCTCATTTGAGACCCATTTACGACATAGAAAACATTCAATTTGGAAAATGATATATAGAGAAAAGTTGTAGCTCTTTGAGTTAGCTTTCCAACGCACTTTGAATTACCTCAATCGGATATCGGGAGAAGAAGTTATGATAGAAATACTAAAGGCTATCAACCGAAGTACGTGGAATATGAAAAGTCAAATTCTTACACGATTTTCTAGCACCTTCTTAAACCTATAACTCCCACATAAATGGCACCCGTATTAATGATATTAGGCCCTTCACTTGCCCTTAAGTTGTGAGATTTTCACCTATAAATAGGCTCCAATGCATACATATTTTTCACACCAAGACAAAAGCTTCTAACCATGAAAGAGAGAGTTTTCAAATCTAGAAAAAAGAGAAATGAGAGGGAGGAAAATTAGTTTTTTCCTAGAAGTTTTGGTGCTATCAAGAAGTGTTTTCCAAGCATCAATTCTCAACGGAGTGTTTTTTCTGAAACATCAAAGGAGTGCATTTTTCAACAAGGTTCAAAGCATCAATCAAGGTAGGTAGAGGTGCAAAGTATTAATTCGTGTTAAGTTATAAGTTTCTAGCAAATGAAGATTTATGTTAATATTTGTATGTCTAATAGTACCTCCGGTACGGCATACACCTCCATGTCTAATGGTACCTCCGGGTACGGCATGTACTTCCGGTCGAGGCGTCGTGTTAAGTCATGACTCTATGTGTTTGAGATTCTACCAAAAATCTACTATGAAAAGGTTTCTAAAGTTACAGCTTTGAAATGTATAGCTTGATCACGAATGCACCAACGATATCTATTGAATTTTTTTTACTCACGGGTTTAACCCCTTCTCTACAGATTGATATGATTCTACCTTGGACTTGGATGATGGAAAAGATGGAGAGTGGTGCAACGAGCCCATGGAAAACCCGATGAAATTTTTGTGAACGTTTTCAATGTTATTTATTTAAAGTATTTGAATAACGTTGAATGCGAGAACAAGTTGTATTTTCTTCAAATAAATTACATTCCTTTTTTTATTCAGTGTTTTATTTAAAGTATTCGAAAGGTTATTGTTAAAATTTTCATTGTAAAAATTAAACTTCCGCTAAAACATATTCTCCTATGACTAAACCACCGGTTAGTTAAGTAAAGTAAGTAGCGTTCCGGTCCACCAGGGGTCGGGGCGTTACAAAATCGTAGCATGCATAATCATAAATTTCGAGTCAAGATGCTTGCTTGAAATGAGAAATACAAGATCTTTTAAATGGTCGAATCACCTTGGTTTCTAAAACATTGAAATTGCAATTTTCTTGCACTCCAATGGTCTCAATCCCGATCACAATGGAAGGGGATTATTTTCCACAATCTAGTGTCTTATATTGTGAGTTTTCCTACCAAAATAATGATTTTAGGGCCTTTCTAATTTTGGTGATATTTTCCATATGAATTTTCACCATTTTTCTTTCCATCATTCTCTCTCAAAATGTTAGACAAAAACTTAGAGGTTTGTGTGAGAGTTAAGGGTGTTTATAGGGAGTTGTAGGTTTGAATTTCAAGTTCAAACCACTCTCTCCAATCCTTTTAATATCTTGTGAGTTGAACCACTTCACATGGGCGACCCACAATCCGTATTTTCTAACACATACTTATGGTCTATCCTAGTCCATAATCTCAATGAATTTGCAGCAGCATTAGCTCGATGCCAAGCAAAAGAGCTGATAAAGTACCTGTTCAGTGTCCTCCATATGATCAATCCAGTCATGTATCATGAATTGTATCCATGAACATGCTATCATGTTGAATTGCTTCCCACAATCTACAAATTTTCTCCTCTCCAAGAGCTTTTTGGCTATTATCGATGGGTGAGGTTCCAACAACTGTACCACAAAATGTGAAGAACTCAACTCACCACAAATTACAAAAGATATTTAATAGAATACAACTACAAACATTTGGCGCAATTTCAAACAATGTTCAAATAAATGGAGCAAAGCCAAGGCGTCAATCTTACCCCATAACCTGAAGTTGCTGGAGGCATGTTCCTACCAAAAAACCTACCTTGGCTTCCTACAAGATAATTCAGAGGATGATTGCACGTTCCATCAGCTGTTCGATATGAGAACTCTCTAGTGTCATATTTCTGGTCTTTGCTTCCTCCAACGTGCAACAGGTTGTATCGTTGATGCAAGTGCCTTCTCATTCCAAGGTAAGCCAATCCCAAAAGCACTGGTAATCGATGCCATGCTCCGAATTTATCCACTAAATGTATTATCTGAGTTACAAAAATATAGATATCACTAATCTAACCAAAAGAAAAAGAACACTTTATCAGACCGACATGCATGTCAAAAGCACTTGGTACCATCGAATGGGGGCTTTATAAATTAGAATTAGAAAAGTCTACATTCAAATATTTTGCAAATTCCAGTGTGTGCCTGTGTACAAGGAAGAGAGAGCACTAACATAGAATATAATAGCGTCGAGAAGTGACATGTTAGCTACAGTATGCTGCAATTGAGGATGAACCAAAGAAGAAGAGAACGGAGAAAAAGCCATTCGAACGGTTGCCTGCAGCTGCTATAAGAATCCAAAGATGAGATATAGAAAAATGAGGTCCATACAGAGCTTAAACGTTGTTTGGTCCATTTACACCAGTCCCCTTTCCTGCCATAAATGAGTCAATGCTGTGAAGCCCAACGTTTGGTGTATCAACACGTAAGAATTTCATCCTGTCCTATCAAGTTCCACAAGTAGGAAGATCCTAGAGATTTTTGCAAATATAATAGGATACATCATTCATATATATATATTGGCCAAATAATAGCTACTTCAGTGGTATGATTAGCATATGCTTATTAAATTTAATCATAGAAACATTTGGAAAAGAATATATATTCCGTATACTACAACTTCTGTGTAGTATCTTTTAAATCTTGACTTCAACATTTGCTTCAATGCATACACACGATTCAGTTTCTCCATTAGCACCTAACACATGCACAATTTCAAAAAATAGGTGGTGACGAGACTTGCGCGCGCAATACAAACCATACGAGCCAGGTATTTTATCGAGCATAAGATGCATCAAATAAAAACGCCAAAATAAAAAACATATAAACAAACAATACCCACCATTTCACCTGGCGTTTTGCTGATCCAAAGCTGACCTAATGCGGATTGATTTCCAAGGAAAATTACGGAACAATGTTTCTCGAATTTTAATGATACCAAAGAATTGGAGTTGTAAAATAGAATTACAAATTTTTGCGATCCATTTTAAATGAATGTTCATGAATTTTGATTTCAGAAGTTCAATTTCAAGCATCCCAAATGAAATTGTGGGTTAGCTCATGCGTTTCTTGCTAGAATTCAGAAGCTAACTGCTTTTAAGTGAGCAAGAGTGAAATTCCGTAAAATAGGAAAGATTGTTAGTATTAGGTCGGAGCAGAAAATCGAAAAATCGACCAAATCAATCAAACTGAATTGACTCGGATCGGTTCGGTTGGATTTGACTCAGGTAATTAATTTGATTTTTATTTTTATTATTATTTTTTTTTTTCAAACATGTTTTGTTGGTTCAAAAATGATTTGAAATTTCAAATAGTTGGTTAACCGATTAAATTCAATCCACTTACATATTTATCTTTTTTTTTTTTTTAATTTAAGAAAAATAAATAGTAAAAGATAAGCCATAATCTTATAAATATATCTCGATTCGCTCTAATTTATGATATTGCTAGTAAGTAATAGTACTGAAAATTTTCTTCAATAAGCTCATTATATATATATATATATTTTAACTCAGGTAGTCATATTACATAATATATAAAAAAACAACAAAATTATTAAATTTTCTGTTGATCCATTTCTATCAACCTTATTTTATTTGTTAATCAATAGTTCTTGTAATATAAAATTATTTGATTATTCTAGTTCTTTTAAACTCAAACAATTTTTTTAAAACTTTTTTAATTCGGACTAGAAGTCCAAATCGACTAATCGAAATGTACTGAATCAAATTGATTTGTTTTTGTTTGGTTTGGTCAAGTTCGGTTTAAGAATTAGAGTGGATTGGTTTGAATTGAAATTCATCCAAATCGATTAATTTAGTTTTGATTTCAAGTCGGAATCGAAACCGATCCAAATTAAATCGCTCCTAAGCCTAGTAAGCATAGACTTGACATTCACATGAACAGCGTGATTGTGTAAAATTTCTCCCTGTTGGGATTTGTTGAAAAAATCAATTATAATATTAATATCCTACTAGTTGTAAAATTTCATAGGCTGCTCTTGGCTCTTCAACTTCTCGTTGTAGGAAACTCGAGCGTTATTGTTACGACAATTCGTGTCCAATCAGGCAACCACGATATTCAACGTCTGTCCCATGAACTTTTGTTGCAACCAGTTTTGGTTTCTGGGATCATAGATTAATTATACGTTAAAAAAACCCTCCAAAACTCCAAAACAACTCATTCGGCATCGTACGTGCCCCGTGTCCGAAAATGGGCAAAATAACACTCCATATATTTCCCAGCATCATCGGGTAAATCAATTTCTTCATGTGCATTTTCATGTGTCATTTTCAAATTGACGTCTCTGACACGTGATTCTACTCGTAATATGTTATCTAGTCATTAGAACATGCCTTCTAACCACCGCCATACAAGTGGTGTCAATTAACATCCCATCAATGTGGCAATAGTGCCACTTTAGCATCTAATCGGCACTCCATAATTTTCTAATTAAATTGAATCTTTTCACTTGACCATATCGGTTTAGGAGTTTGACCAGCCAATTTAGTGGCTTAAAATTCAATTTAGTTTTTGTTTAGAATTATACCGTTCTACGGTTTCGGGGAATGTACTTTTTGTTTATAGCCTTTGTTTTGTCCAATTCGTCATGCAAATTGCAGTTTGGTAACTGCATTATTTGTTTCTCATATAAATATATATGAAAATGATCTCTTAAGCACCGGTGTCCGTTGCTTAGGAGATCATTACTAATATACAAAAATGTTTCATCATCCAAGTAAACTATCTTAGATGGGTCCAATTATATTCTATGGTCGGAAAAGAGGTCTAGTTATCGTGAAAGGCAATAATTAAGGTGATTTATCATTCGAATATATCTTATTGGAAATTGGTATAGAAAATTGCCTTTGAAAATTTTAACGCATTTTTAAGTAGAAATAGTTAATCGTTGAATGAAATATCAATACCAAATATAATCCGCATAAATACATGATATTGCTGAAAATTTAATAAGAATATTATGAAATAAGTATTTGAAAGTTAATTTGGCTGGAAAGTTGTATCTTTTTGGACATGACATTTGTAAAAAGTCACATTTTTTTCATCGTCGTTGTTTTAGGAGATGAGATCCAACTTTTGCTATCTAATTTATTTTCCATTCCAACTAATTATTGATGCATCATTTTACATGAACAGATAATCAATTTTAATTTTTCACTTTAACAACTATTTTAACACTGTTAGATATTTTCTCTCACACGCAGAATGATGGGTCAATAATAAATTTGGTGAATAGTAAATTGGACAGTAGATTCTCAACCGTCTTCTTAGATAGTCTTTCATTGAATTGTGTCTTTTGAAACACAACTTTGGATCATTACATAGACTCCAATATATGAAATTTTATTCATCATCAAATTCATTATTGCATTATAATGTTAATGCATATTCATTTCAAAATAATTTCAGCATTTATTTCAAATCAATTTTTATATAAATAAAGTTCAAAATATCATTATATTCGTTGGTCTACGTAATTTGGACTGTTTCTTGAAGATGAATGCCGTAAAATCATTAGCAATGGGGCATTATTGTTTTAAGAAGAAAAAGTAGAACTCTTGCTTCGGTTGAATTCATATTCATGAATTTATCATTTATACTTTGCATATTTAATTTTGATAAGTCAAAATTATGTACCAATTTTATGCATGTAAAATATTCGTTATTGGAATATGATTTATGCACGTTAATTTTTTTAAACATGAAATGAATTTTATGAACAAAAGGATAAATGGGACAACGCGACCTATCGATTTGGTTATGAAGTACAAGCATTACTTCAATTTAACTTTAATATGGATGATTTAGTACTTCCCAGCACTCCTGACCCCAAATGGGGATTCAATCGTGATTCTTCGGTTGTAAAATGTCGGATTCCTAGAAATTTGTAAATTAAAATTGACTTTAATATTTATAAATAATTTATAAATATAAGCAAGACATAGACTTAGTCCATCAATATTAGTTCTTGGTAATCATCATTGCTTGAAGCAATACTTAAAAATGATTGATAGATTGGTAGCGAACTCCATTTTTTTTCTCATTGAACATCAAAAAAATTAAGAGCATCTACATTTTTTGAATGTTTAGCAAGAAAATCCAGAAAAATGTTACAATACGATATAAAGACAACAATGTCTTTACTCCTAATAATTGAAACAAGTAAATAAATTAGAAAGCAATAAAATTAAGACTTATATGTTCCTCCTATCTACTATTCCATGAGTGGCGACACACAGCAAAAAGAACATAGCAACCTTTTTCGTTTCAACGGTCGACGAACACAATTGTTGTACAATATCACTTATCAAGTACTTTGTACAAAACTTGTTATAACATTGCAATAATGTCCAACCAATAGGCAGTTGGGGATCTAAATGTCACAGAGAGATAGTTGGAGACCTCATTGTCATAGTTACCAAAGCCAAAGGCACTAATGAAAGATTGTACAGATTATTATATTAAAACATATGTGACATATATTTGATGTTTCTTTTTTCTATTTTTTTTCTGACTTGGAACTTCCAATTTAATGCTGGACTCCTCAACCTCTAACTGTGTACAATTATTGACATTTTAAAAACTTTTTATTATTTTGCAGTTTGTTCATTATCATGTCTTTCTTTACGTATCCTTTGCCGTGGAAGTTTTGGTTTCAATAAAGTTGATAAAAATCATAGAGGTCCCACTTTAATTTTATGAACCCAGTTTGAATATTGAATTATCAAGGTTGAGATATCTTGCTTGGTATTTGGTTTGGCTCCTCTCTCTCATACATATAGGAACAAGACAGGAAGAGGTTGGGACGGGATTTAAATATCTCAATTTTTCGTCCCAATTCTCCCATTTACTTTTTTATATAATTTTTTTATTATTATATATGCCTAATAATGATAGTACATTTTGTGTCAATTGAAGTACAACTTTACTAAGCCAACTCTCAGATAATGTGGTACTCATCTACAAGGGCGAATTTAGGAGTCAAGTTCAGTTAGGGCGGATCGTGAGCGTTGTAAGCTTACTATCAACAGCCAACATCCGTAATAACGGGATTTTTTATTAATTTTTAATTAAAAATAATATTCAAAAAATTGTACGGGTTAGAACTAGATACACCATTAAAACTAGAATTAGGTAAAAACTTTCATTTTGGATGAAAAAATCTTCCATAATCTGCAAAATGTCCTAATTTATTTTTCAATTAAATAGGAAATATATATTAACAAAATGCCAATATTCAATTTATGATTAAAGTTAATTAAACAAGCATTATTATATTAACAAAATTGAAATTATTTATGTGCTTATATTAATTTTATGTGTTTTTATGATTTCACTTTTTCACAATCGATTTTTTATGAACGAAAAGTGGAACATTTTATTAATTAAATAAGTTTTGTTGAAAGATTCCTTATGACACTAAACTCAATTTTCCTACAAATTTACCCATCATTATTGACCGAACTCTCAAATCAATTGATTAGAGGGAAAAAAAGAAAAAGAAAATCTAGAGGGACAACGGTGCTACTTGCATTAAACCAGTAAAATTGAACATATTTTATATTTGTTACACTATATGCTAAAAATCAATAGTTGTCATGATGGTAAAGTGCTCAATATATTTAAAGAATGTAGCAAGTTCGAATAACTTTCCTTACATTTGTTTTGATTAAAATGGTAGAAATACAAAAATTATAAAAAAAAATATTACTTTTGAAGAGTTTCAAGCACAAGACCTCCAATTCAATAGTAGAAGGACTAACCAACTAGACTATCAAAAATGTTCGTTGTTAATATGAACTATCAAATATATAATTTAAAAATTCTATCTATTATTAGCCAAAAAAAATTCTCCCAGCTTCCCATTAAATCCGCCCCTGCTCATCTTAAATGATGTGAATTACAATTTATTCAAGTTCAACCCATCTATCATGTTCATTTTATAAATAAATAGAGATATAGAGATCTAACAATAATTGAATAAGAAAGAGAGTGTTACACAACATACTTCAGCTATTAATGCAATGGGATGGGGACATGACCGTTTTTTATTTTTATTTATTTATTTATTCATTTTTTGTCTCCTGTCCGAACGGATTTGAACTATTCAATTAGCCAAGTTGGTGTTACTTTGCGGGACATCT